GCGCGCCTGGTGCCTGGGTCCCCTGGCCCGACGGGCAGAGCCCGGGCTCCGCAGGACCTTTGAGCAGCGGGGACAGCGACGAGGGTCGAGGATGGAGAGAGGGGGCTGCCGCGGGGACGGGGCGCTGTCAGGCAGGACAGGGGGACGCCGGGGCACGGGCCGAGCGTCGCGCCCACCCACCCCTCGCCCCTTACCAACCGTAGCCACGTGCCCAGGGACACAAGGCGTCGAGTGAGAGTCTTGGGGAAACTAGAGCCTCACTTGGTGCTGGACAGCCCCATGTGCCCAGAAATGGGGGGCTGGGGGCCCAAGCAGGGTTGGCGGAGAGTCTCACCACCCTCCCCAGGACCCGGGCCCCCTGCTGTGTTTCTCTTTCAGTTTCTTGCGGTCCCCCTCCACCCCGCCTGCCCTGGGGAAGCCCCGTGGGGGCAAGGGGAGAGGAAGAGGGGGAGGGCACCTGACGCTCAGAGCCCCTCCCCAAACCTCCGCGGGTTACTTGTCAGAGGGAGGGCGGCCTTCCAGCCCCACCATCCTTCTTCCCGCACCGGAAAGTGAGCCTCTGGGAGGGGAGGGGCCTGGCTGGACTGCGGTCCCGGGATGGCTGGATGAGGCTCGGCTCAGGCCTCCAGATGTTCATCTGTTCATTGGCCCTAGGGGCACGGCCATGGCCGGCTGGATCCAGGCCCAGCAGCTGCAGGGAGATGCGCTGCGTCAGATGCAGGTGCTCTATGGGCAGCACTTCCCCATCGAGGTCCGCCACTACCTGGCGCAGTGGATCGAGAGCCAGCCATGGTAGGTGTCCCCAGCCCAGAACCTTCCTCCACAGGGCCTGCCCTCCAGGCACCCCACCCTCCACCCACCTGCTCTGTGGAGGACTCCTGGTGGGCCCTGGCTGTGCAGAAGGGGAGGTGTCCCTGGAAAAGGGGAACCGGGACATGGGGAGTGGGAGGGGATGTTTCTCCACTCTGGTGCATGTGGAACTGCTAGGCACTAGCCCCGTGGGCCCCGGAGAGGTGTCTGTCTGGTGATAGAGCTCCTTAGTCACAGAGCCAGAGAACCCCATGCGCCGCTTGGAGCCCCACTGCTGGCCCGAGAAGGTGCCATCGTCGGTGTCTTTCCCCTGCCCTCCCCAAGGGACACCATCGACCTGGACAACCCTCAGGACCGAGCCCAGGCCACCCAGCTACTGGAGGGCCTGGTGCAGGAGCTGCAGAAGAAGGCCGAGCACCAGGTGGGGGAGGACGGTTTTTTGCTGAAGATCAAGCTGGGCCACTATGCCACGCAGCTCCAGGTGGGTGCCGAGTGCTGGAGGCCTATCTGTGGGAAGGCAGTGCCATCCGCCTTCTTCCACCCTCCAGACCTCTGGGTTTTTTCCTGGCCTGGTCACTGACTCACAATATGACCCTGAGCTTACCTGCAACGTCTCTGCTTCAATTTCCCCCACCCCCTCTTTCTAAGCAGACCCGCCAGATGCCTTTGAACATATTACCAAGCAAGGGGTGGAGGCTGTTTACCTCCCCAAAGGGGGGAGATGGGTGAAAGGGCACGATGAACTGATCAGGGAAGGTGGGGAATCTTAGGCCACAACTGGAAGGGTAGAGGTAGATGAGCCAGGGTTCCTCTGCTGGAGGGAGGCAGGAAGTCAGGGAAGAAGGTCACCATCCCTATTGGGACCCCGTGAAGCCTGGGTGGGGGTGGAGAAGGGTTGTCCTGGAGGTGAGAGCTGGGTGACAGGGGCTTCCATGGGGGACTGGAGATTCCCCTGGTGAGGGAGGGAGAGGAGAGGAGAGGGAGTTTTTGTGGAAGCAGGCAAAGGCGTGAGTGGTGATCAGAATGAAGCCTTTACTGGAACTCACTTCCCCCCAAAAGTTGAGTTGATGCCGACTCATGGTGACCCTGTGAGTCGCTTTGTGGGAGTAGAAAGCCTCTTTCCTGAGGAGCAGCTGGTGGGTTCAAACCGCTGACCTTTTTGGTCAGGAGCCCAACATATAACCACGATGTCAGCAGACCTCCTAGGAAACTCACTTAGAGAGCCCTTCAACATCAGCAGTGGGGTTCCTGGGAAATAAAATGGTCCATTGGGGGGGGGGATGAAGCAGGAGAGCCCTGCGGGGGTACATTAGGTACCCAGGGGCAGATGGATAGTGGCAGGTACCTTGGCTTTGCATGAAACCCTGGGTTTCGACCTTGAGTCAGCTCCTTGCTCACGTGTTTGCCCCTGGGCAAGTACAGAACCTCTCTCAGCAGTATCAGCTTTCCCATCTGTGAAACAGGGGTGATGATTTTACTTCTGCTGTGGGGGTTGTGTGCTGTGAGAATCAGGGAAGATCGTCACTTGGAAGTGCTTTGTAAGCAGCGGCTTTTAATTTCCTGCGTGCCAAACACGAAGACCCAGGGAGGGGGTCCAGGAGAGACAGGAGGCGTCCAGTGATTGTTCCTGAGGCTCCCTGGGGGGTGCTGATGGGCAGGGCTCGAACAGAGGGTGGTGACTGCTGGCTGCTGTTGGATTCTTTCAGAACACGTACGACCGCTGCCCCATGGAGCTGGTCCGCTGCATCCGCCACATTCTGTACAATGAGCAGAGGCTGGTCCGAGAAGCCAACAATGTGAGTGTCCCCGGGCATGCTGGGAGGAGTTACAGAATCTTTGCACACACCCTTCTCTCCAGTCACAACTGTGCTTACGTGAAGCCTGAGCCTGAGCAGAGCCAGGAAATCAAGAGACACGCGCTAATGTGAGAGGCAGAGTTGTTACAAGGAGGTAGGAAGTGGCTGCCCGTGCTTAATCCCTGGCCGAGCCTCATATGAGCTGTGTGATTTGGGCAGGTGACTTGACCTCTCTGAGTCACCCTTTGCCAAATGGGGATAATAATATCAGTCACCTCATAGGGTTGTTGTGAAGATTAAATGAGATATCATGTAGGCCCGGGAGAGGCAGACAGGATCGTGGAAAAGTAGGGGGGCTCTTCACTCACACACACACACACACACACATACACACACACACACATACAGCTGGAAACTTGGTTGATGTCAGTGGTGTCCTTACACACCACTAGGGGAAATATTTGTCATTCCATAAGCAGCGGCGTCTTGTGAGCAGAAAAGGAGCCGAGGCCAGTGGCACACAGCCTATAGAGACATGAGGCCTCGTGGGGGGCAGGGACGGGGAGGGACACAGGGCCTGAGCACCCAAGTTCTGTGTCCATGAAGGTGCTCGACACCTGCACGGACCGTGGCACAAATGCTGTTACCTGCAGGAAAGCAAAATGGGTTTCTTAAAAGGCCTTAGGGCAGTCCAGAGGTCATTTCTATTATGTGTTCATAATCATGGATGTGGATGTCAAGAATTTTAAAGTTCATTTAGAAGAGCCCTTTCTGAGGTCCTGCTGATGCTAGGCTGGGATTCCCGAAGGAGGCCAAAGGCCTGTACCCCCCCAAAGGAATTCGGGCAGTGAGAGGTTCTCCTTGAGACCCTGCCTGACGGACTGGGACGTCGGGGGTGGGGGTAGGGGTGGTTAGAGAAACAGGCCCTGACTCAGGATGGAGCAGGTGGCTGAGGGACAAAGTAATAGCCGCTCATTTGAAGGCAAGAAGACATAAGCTGTCGTGTCACGTTTAGAGGCTTGCAGGTAGTCCCATGTAAGTGGGGAGAAGGGAAGCAATGTACATGTGTGGGTCCCCAATAGAGAAAGCTAGAAAAGAATGATCTTTTCCCAAGGGATGACCACCCTTGACTTGCTACCCTCACAAAGTGAACTGCAAGTGTGCAAATGAATTCAACCTCCTGGACAAACCTCTGTCTACAACCTGGACATGTCAGAAGAGACCAGTCAGGAGAATGACATCACGCTTGGTAAAGTCGAGAGGCCGTGAAAAAGAGGAAGCCCCTGAAGATGGGTTTGACACAGTAGCGGCAACAATGGGCTCAAACAGAGCAACAGATGTGAGGCTAGCAGTGACCGGGCAGTGTTTCAATCCATTGTACGTGAGTCTGAGTCAGCTCGATGGCACCTGTCAATGTCACAGAGCAGAGGGGTCCTCGTGGTCAGTAGGACGCATTCTTTCTCTGAGCCATCAAACGATTCTTGACTGTCTCTGAAGTTCTGGACCTTGGAGAGTCTGGTGAACAAGGGCCCAGCTTGGGAAGCTCATGCCTTGTCCAGGAGATAGACAAGAAACAAGTTAGTACACACATGCCCATTTTCAGATAAAGGCACAGCCGGTGCAATGCTCTAAACAAGTTTTTTATTGTAAAATCATATATAACACACCATTTACCTAGTTGATTTTTTTTTTCTGTATCAGTGACACCAGTGACATTGATCAGGCCATGCAGCCATCCCTCCTGTCCTTACAAAGTTGTCCATTACCGCCTTTGCATTCTAAACAATCCCTCCCTCCGCCACCCTTCCTCCCATCTCTGATAAACCACTCATAAGCTCCAGTCTCGACGTGTGCCTGCTCTGCACATTCCATGGACGTGGAGGCGTGTCTGTCTTTGGTGGCTGCTTCTCTTTGTCGTTGTCTGTTTGTTGAAGGGGGTGAGTTTGTGAGTTTGCTTCTCTTTGTCGTTGTCTGTTTGTTGAAGGGGGATCTCTTGGAAAAGAAGTCTCTAGGGCCCTTTGCCCCAGTAATGGCCTGATTGCTTTTCTTCAGATAGCTCAGTGTGTCCGGGGGTCATCCATGCCGCAGCCTGTCTCAGGGGCCCTTTCTCTTCCTGGCTGAGTCTCCATCCCATTGCGTGTCTCTCTGACAGGTTGCTTGTCCAGACACCTGGGAACAGACATGGAGCGGGACAGTGGCACTTTACATTGGCCCCTCATCGAAGGTCTTTTTCTGGAAAGGGGCCAGCTGAAATGCTAGCCTGCGGAGGATTGTTGTCCCAGTACTGATGGAACAACAAGCACAAACACTCCAGGCAGGAATGGGTGTGTGCGTGTGTGTGTGTGTGTGTGTGTGTGTGTGTGTGTGTGTGTGTGTGTGTGTGTTCAAAGAACAGAAAGTAGCTGGTGAGGCTTGGGCAGCATGGACCTGGGGGCAGAGGTTGACAGAGGAGATCAGCAAGGCCAATGGAGGCTGTGTTGAGGAGATGGGAATTCTTTCTGGGAGCAGTTCATTAGACCTTCCTCCCTGAAGCATTCACTGCGCCGTGCCTGGCGTCGAAGGAGTGGATCAGACCTGGTCACATCAGGGCCTGGGTCCGTGGAGGCCTTGCTGGTGTCTCCCCCTCTAACTTCATTCTGAGGACCCCAATATGCCTATGAGGGGCTCAGCCTCTTCCCTGGCGGAACCAAACGATGCAGTCACAAGAAGGTCTTGCGTGAGGGCTTTGACGTGTGTCCACACGGCCTCATCTCCCACACTTGGCTTTGGGTCACCACGTGAATATGGAGTGAGTGGACACCTTCGCGAATACTCGGGTCTTGGGACACGTTGCGCCGTAGCCTGTCAGAAAGGTGTTCGATTAGCCGCTGCTGGAGTCCCTGTGCCAGAAGTGAGATTTTTAAATGGAAGTGTCCAGTATGCTTTCTGAAGGTGCCATCGTCAGCCAGGTCACCCTCATTCTCCCTCAGCCCTACTCCACCCCAATGCTGATCCGTGGGCAGTCTGACTCAAACAACCCTCCCTCCCTCCTTCAGATGTAAGTCTGGGATCTGTCGGATGGGTGTTTGATGAGCCCTGAGGTTTTCTCCCATCAATCTGTCTCCAGTGCAGCTCTCCAGCCGGGAGCCTGGCTGACGCCATGTCCCAGAAACACCTCCAGATCAACCAGACATTCGAGGAGCTGCGGCTGGTCACGCAGGACACAGAGAATGAGCTGAAGAAGCTGCAGCAGACCCAAGAATACTTCATCATCCAGTACCAGGAGAGCCTGAGGATCCAGGGTGAGGCTGCCGCGTGCGCGAGCCACGGGTGTTGGAAGAGGGAGGGAAGAACACGCGGTGAGCTCCAGGGCAGGGGCTTGGTGTGCATCGACCCGCCAGCACCAGGCCCAAAGTCTGGTAGCAGTCACAGCTCCCAGGGGTTGGGCCTCTGCTGTGGTCCTTGTGCCCTCGTGCCATGCTAAGCCCCTTACAGACCCCAACCAATTCACCTCTCCCAACAACCCTATCGATTAGGTAGTTCTGTTCTCTAAGTGATAAAGCTGAGCACCAAAGGGAACCAGGAACCTGTCCTAGGTTTCTGGTAAGTTAATAGAACTGGATCTCAACTAGAGATGTGGCATAAGATCCCTGTACTTTAATAATCACTGTTCTCGCCCTCGCTGTACGTCTTCGATGAATAGCTAAATGTGTGACTGAGCGTAAGGGACCAAATGCTTCCCAATCAGAGGGACGCCTTTGGCTGGGAGTCTCCAGGGGTCAAGTGGACTCTCCGAGTGCCCCTTCCTGACATCCTAGACTGGGAAGAGGGGTGACAGCGGTAAACAGCTCCTAGGTGTATGGCTTGTCAGTGGCTCCCACGGTAAGAATGTGGGGATAGAAAAATGGAGCCAGAAGAAATGAACCCTGGGTGCCCTTTGAGGAGTCTCAGGAGTTCCCACAAGGGGTCACTCCAGACTGACCATGGAGGTGCTCCCCTAGCCTCGTAAGAGCTCTAAGTGCCCATTTGCCATGTCTTTGCTGACTTTTCTAGCTGCTTAAAGCAACTACTTTGGTCATTGTGTCAGGCCGTTCAAATGGGGTTGAGTTTGGATATAGATGTGTATATATCTGAAAACCGAGCTCTGGTGGTGTAGTAGTTATGTTTTAGACTGCACACCGCAAGGTTAGCAGTTCAAAACCACCAGCCACTCTGGAGGAGAAAGATTTTTCTTTTGTCTTTCTACTCCTGTAAAGAGTTATAATCTCAGAACCTCACAGGGGCAGTATTACCCTGTCTTACAGGGTTGCTGTGAGTTGGCATCAACTGGCTGGCAATGAGTTTGTTTGGAGATGTATCTGAAAGCTATACATTTCCCTCTACATACTGCTTTAGCTGCATCCTACAAATTTTTATTTTAATTCCACTTGAAATTATTTTCTAATTTCTCGTGGAATTCTTTACTGGTACATTATTTAGAAAAATATTGTTTAATTTCCAAATATTAGATTTTTCCTAGCGGTCCTATTTTCTTGATTTCAACACCACCTTATAATTAAATTTCACTGTGGTAAGGTGAGATGTGCTGTGTGATCTCAGTTCTTTGATACTTTTGTGGCCCAGCCTGTCCTGTGATCGCCTTTGGAAACTTCCTATGAATAAGAGATTAAGTGTGAAAAAGGAAAATCACATCATATGAATTTCTGAAAATACTTTTGATTCTACAGACCCCTAAGAAGGGTCTTCGAAACCCTCCTCTCACCAGTGTCTATAATCTATACTTTGAGAATCACTGATTTTGGGGGGGAGGGGGAGGGCGTTAGTTCTATCAGTTACTGAAAGAGAGAGATCACACTTACATGACTGTACAATTGTCTGTTTCTTCAGGTAACTCAGGAAATATTTTCGTTAGGAATTTTGAAGCTTTGTTATGTGGTAAATACACGCTGGTGCTTATTCTGTGGATCCAGTGAATGGACACTGTAATTATTATGAAATGTCTGCCCCTCTCTTTGTCTTTAAGTCTATTTCTGATTAATCATCACGATAGCCTTCCCCTTCATAGTGCATCTTTATCCATCCTTCCTACAGTCAACACATCTGTCTTTTGTACATAGCATGAGATAGAGTTTCAGCTTGCTCCTAACTGAGCCCATTAACACTTAATATAATCATTGACAGTTTGTTCAGTTTCCCATTTTACAAGAGGTCTGATTTTCCCCCTGTACCTGAATTCTTTTGTCTTGCTTTCTTCAGTCCATTTTGATTTAGCTACAAAAGAAAGCTCTTGGGGGTGAGAGTGGGCCGGGGGAAAAAAAGAAAGCACTCTCCTAAATCCTGCCCTGTCGGTGTTTCCTGTGCCCTGGGGCCTAGGCCCTTGTGTGGACGATAGATGTTGGGGAGACGGTGGTGGGATGGTTCGGGCATGTCTCCCTCCCCTTGGAGGGAGACATCCCACTCCCACCCACCTGGAGGGGGAACAGGAGCGGTCAGTGGTTCTTTGGGTAGGTTCATAACTTAAGGGCCCTGTGACACCTGTTTAGTACTCCCAACCCAGGGCCACCTGCAGGAGAAAGGTGGAACTCTGCTTCTATGCAGACACCCTTTGGCCCTCTATGCTGCCCTGTGGGTCAGAGTCCAAAGTGCCACGATAGCCCGGGTTGTGTTGGCTTTCGCCGGGGCTTCCCGGGTGCTGCTGTTTGATGGCGTTGGGTTTGGATGCTGGTTTGGGAGGCCCTCGTCAGGCAGGGTCAGTCCTGCCTCGTTGATCAAGTTCACCCGGCTGACACACAGACTGTGGATCTGTTTGGGCCAGGGAAGGCCCCGCTTCCTCCAGCAGAGCCGAGCCAAGCAGTTGCCTCATGTCTCCCCAGACTCCTTCTAGAAGCTTCTGCAAACTGCCTGGAGACACCTAAGAGGGTCCCCTCTTGGAGTGTGGCCAGAGCCACGTGCTGCCCTCCCTGTGGTGGGCAGGAGTCCCCAGGTCGCTGTCCAGAGGACTCTAGGTTAAGGTGGCCTGATTTTAACATTGGTAAAGCGGGACACCATTGATAAAACTCATATCCTGGTGAAATAGCCACATGGCAGCTGAAAACCGTCTACCCTAGCTTGTGCATTCTTTCCAAAAATCGGGACTGTCCCACCAAAAGCGGGACGTCTGGTCACCTTACTCTAGGTGTCTGGGCCTAGATAGCCCTCTCCCTGCTCGGTCCCCTGCAGTTAGGTCCTGGGTTACTGATACACAGGTGGTCCTTAAAGTACTTTCCCTTCTCCCATGGTATCTCACCGTTGATGAGAATGCTTACAGCCACTGTGGAGAGAGGCTGCCTCCCCCACCTGCTCTTTGAGGGAGCCCTGCAGGGCCTTGGACTCTCTCAGTCGGTGGGCAGGCTGCCCCTGTGACCATATTAGGCACCTCCCGGCAGCTAGAGAAGCCACTGTCCCCAGTGCAGAGCCCCTCCTGGATGCCCTAAGCCACGACTAACTCTTCGGTGGTGCTTCCTGGGCGCTTGGCAGTTAGGTGCCTTCTGCTCCAAGCCAGGCAGGCCCACCCACGAGCCTCATCACTTGTTCAGTCCTCCTAACACCCCACGGAGCAGGTGCTGTGAGGCTCCCTTTGCAGGCGGGGAGTCTGAGGCTCAGGGGAAGAGAGTGATTGGCCCAAGTTCACCCAGCTATGAGAAAGCAAGCCCCCACCCACCTTTCAGACCCCAGCAGCTGTTCCATGCCAGGCCCCATGGGAGGGGGCAGGGCAGCCAGCTGTGTGGGGAGGAGACCAGGAGGGGGGGCAGGAGCTCTCCTGAGTTGCACTCCTGAGCAGAGAGGGACCAGTCAGGAGCCCTCTGAAGGCGCAGTTCACCTTCGGGCAGCCTGACTTGCTATTGGGTATCCGGTGCCTGAGCGTCTTGCCTCGGGGCGAGGGACGTGTAAATGCTCTGGCTTCCTGCTCAAACCTGGGGGACATGACTGTGGTGTCCTGTCCCCCCCTCCAGCTCAGTTCGCCCAGCTGGCCCAGCTGAACCCCCAGGAGCGGCTGAGCCGGGAGACGGCCCTCCAGCAGAAGCAGGTGTCCCTGGAGGCCTGGCTGCAGCGAGAGGCCCAGACCCTGCAGCAGTACCGAGTGGTGAGTGGCCGCCTGGGTCCTCCCCGCAGCGGGCCCTGCCCTGAGGCCTGCACAGAGCTAGGGGAGGG